CAAATTACTTTACCTGCTTAGCGGATGGAGCATTATTCCATGACAGATGCATTTCAATCTCAGAAAAGAAAAATACAATTTTTTTAATCTAGACGTACGATTACATTATGTTATCTTACTCGATTAATGCTCTTTTCATTTAATAGAAAAATCAAATGATAAAAATGAAATTAAAAGATAAAATAGTGCCCTTTTTCGCCAGCCTCTCATAAAAACATGGGAAGAACCATATGATATGGTTTTACATGCCCCTTGACTTTAGTCATGAAAATAATTGCGTGGAACATTCCTCACTTGTGAGAAATTAATATGTATGCAATTTTGTTTTGGAAATCCTATTTTTCCTCGTTAAAAACAGGCTTGAATTCAGAAAGGGAAGTGCGTTGACTTGGAATAAAATATCTAATATGAATAGCATAGACCATTATTTATTATTCTTATGGAAGCTTTAATTCATTTACAACAAATTTGAATGTGAGCAGCATCTGAAGTCACACCCAGGCTTGACTTTACGTGACAATTTTCATGATGATTATTGAACAATTGAGAGGATTATTATGAGTGAATCATAACTCCTTTCCCATAATGGGGTCACGTTTCAGAAGTAAAAGTTACATTCAGATTGCCAACTTTAAATTATAAATATATTAAAACAATAAGATATAATTTTATAAAATATAAATTTGAGTGTATCTAGTCCCACCCGTGACTCCAACTTGAGCTGTATTGGATAATTCTAAGCACAAAGTTTGAAAATCATTAAGTTAAAGATAAAATTTATATAATTTAAGACTTTTTAATATATTTTAAGTTTGAAAAAGTATATTAAAAATCATTTTACTTAATTTTTTTTTTAATTTTAGAATGTTCTAGGGCAAGTGTTTTTCTCCTTGGGTCATTTTTCTTTTTATTTTATTAATAATAATAATGATGTGGAAGAAAAGTGTGAGGGGGTTGGGTTTAGATTTGGGCCGCGTTACAACGTTAAGCCCAATTTTGTTCATTTGTGTTTTAGGATCGAAGCTGTATGCTATTTGATCTAACAGATTGCCCTCCTTTTCTTTATTTTAATTTTGGGCCAACTACGTCGTAAATGTTTGGGTAATTTTGGGCCTGCAATGAAAGTATCGAATTAACCATGTTAACACCAAAAGGAACTTCAAGACTATGACTCAGTAAATTCCAAAAATAAAAAACTATCATATTTGAATTTTATGTACATTGTTCATTTTTTTTATGCGCATATAATATTCTAACAGTGCAAGTATCTACAATAAGCTTTATTTTGGATATCCACCTCCTGGTAGAATAAAAAATTTGGAACAAGTGTGTTTTGGGTAAGTGCATCCATTTTTTATAAGTAATATAAGAATATAAAAGAATCTAATATACTGTTCCTTGAAGAGAATCGAAAAGTACTAGTTGATTCACGTGGCTAATAATAAAAAATATATTAATTAAATACAATATTGTAGCTAATTAAATGATTAATTATATGAAAAATGGTTAATCTATTAAAAATAAGTCCAATTAGACAAACTTTGTAAAAATACAACATAATTAAAATTAGAAAAATTTCAAAAGGAAAACATAGGATCACCATAATTTAAGTTATGGTTTAAGTCATACGTGTCTTAAAAAGTATTTTTGTCAAAATAAAATATTTTATAGAATTAATTAATAGATAATGTTTTAAAAATAAAATAGAAATTAAAATGTGCTTAAGGCTTTACTTCCATATTAACTAGAGATAAATTAAGTGAAATGATAAGGGAATATAATTGAGTAAAATAAAAATATCACCCTACTGTTTGAATTCTTTATAAATAATATTGATTTCATTGAATTAATACTTCTAAATTATATAAAACTGGACGAAGTTTACTTCATTACCATTCCATTTCATTAACATTTTATTTAAAAATGGTCATCTCATGTATTAAGAAGAATGCATAAACAAAAAGACTGCAATTTTGAAAATAAACACTTAAATTTGTTAGGAGTTGATTTGAAAATAAAACCATATATAGATATATATTTCAATATGAAATAATCAAATCGAATAACACATCTTTCTCAACTTTCAAATGAAATGATCAATCCTAAGTAACAATAAGTGAACTTGGATGTGGTCATGTGATCAACAAACAAGTGAGATTCAACACTTTCAATCATATACCTTAAATTTTTTTAGATATTATAGTTTATTGTAACGTTCGGATATTTTTAAATAAATAAGATCTAAATATATTAACTGTTTATTTTAAATTTTAAAAATGATATCATGAATTATTAATAATAAATATTTATTATATTAAATAAATTTAAAAATACTTTGTTCAATAATATTTTGTAAAACATTCTTATTCAAGAATTAAGACTCATAATTTATATACAAAAATTGATTAAAAAAATTAAAAATGTTATTTAGTATTTTTATTTTATAAACTCTAAAGAAAAAAATTGAGAGCATGTATCCTAACATGCTTCAATATTACTACGAAATACTAACACAGATTTACTGGTATGAAATATTTTACGATCAATCAAATTACAGAATTTCAAAAATCAAGCGTTGCCAATGCATGTACTCTTGAAGTCGTTGTAAAGCTTTCACTGAGTTGAGGACGATGATTGTCATAGTTGCACCCAAAACATTGGAAAAACCTCAGTTTTCTCACACTAAAATGGTCATGAGAACCGAGCCACGGTGCCATGTACTGGGATTTGCTAGGCGAGTTTACTGTAAGTGCAGTACCTTTGGCCTTCTTCGAGTTATCGATATGTTTCTTCAAGTTCATGGTGTTGATCCACTTTTGTATTTTTCGCTTCGTAGTTTGTTTCTCTTCACGTCCGAAGCTACTAAATGGATAAATATGTAACCAAGTATTTCTGTCTACATCGAGCAAATTCTTGATATGTGATAATTTCAGAAGTGATAGGACATATTCTATCACCCTTCTCTGTTGACCTCATCATTCTTGATCGTGTTTCTTGAATTGGTGTTTTTGATTTGAAGATTTAAGACTCAACGGGAGATTTGGTGTTTGTGGTTTTTACCTTGTATTCATAGCATAACTAGCCTGTTTATATAGGCCTTGGAGCTTATCAAGTTAATTAAGATCACCAGAGTGTAACAAATTGCTGGTAAAAACCAATTTTATCATCACTATCTATAAAGATTTAAGAGATAAGAGAGAGAGAAATAATGATATTTGATTTTGTCATTTTCTTTTTTCACATCTAATCTTGAGATATATGTTAATCTCTAACCCTCTCTTCCATGGTTGTTTAATCTAGGTTGTAGTATAATTAACTAATTAAGTTTATTTAAAAAATAGAGATAAAAAATAAAAAATATGAACTACATAAATATCAATGAGACAGTTTTTTTCAGATAAATGCAATTTCTATAAAAATAATGTGAAGTAACAATATTATTCAGGACGTTTCTACATATCTACAAAATATTGTTTTAGGAGATTTATCTAATTTGATTGCATTTGGATTATTTAGGACATTTGAATTATCTTCTCTTTGTACTTAACTTTTTCTGTTATCTATCTATGTATAATATTATATATTTGTTTTTAAGTTTAATATTTTTCTAAATTTTGAAAAAGTTAAATATTATAATTATTAATAATAAATATTCTATTATATTAAAAATAATACAATTTTCAAAATTTTAATTAATATTGAATTGAAAATTCAAAATAATATAAAAATTTATTTTACATGATAAAAATATAATGAATTTATAAAAAATTATCATTTGAGAATACTCTTAAAACATTCTAATTGAAGAATTATTGCTTATAAATTATATATAATTATAATAAAAAAATTAAAAAGTTTTATACTCTCGTTATATTATAAATGGATGATGAGATATTTTATAACTTTTTTTTCATATTTATTTTTGGGGATGACTAGAAAAACAATAATATGTATAATATTAGGGAAGAAAATGGGAAACACAATTCTGACTTAAATTTAAAGAACTACTTTTATAATCATGTTGATTATGTTTTTTTTTAAGATAAATTAAGGGTTTAGTTTTTTGGTTTGACTTGCTTTATTTAAATTTGAATTACATAGATCTTGTTTGATAATTCACAAAAAAGACATAATAAAATAATTTATTTTATTCTATTTAAATTTTAGTTTATTAAATTAACAATAACTTATCATTTTATTCTATTTCATTGTGATAGTTTACATTTTATCCTATTTCTTTTATCTAGTTCAATTTTTTTAAAAAGATAAGTTATGAATTATCAAAATATTAAAATTTTCTTCTTTTCCTTCTTACATATTCCATATCTTCTTTAATATTTTATAAAATTAATTAATCATTAAATATAACTGTAATATTATTTATAAAAATACTGTGTGAGCACTATTTTTAATGAAATATATTTTTAAGAAATAATTTTTATAAAATAATTTTTATAGAATATATTTTAGTTATTTTATAAAATATAATTTTATTTTTCATAATCTATTAAAAAAATTAAAATTATACTATAAAACAATATTTTAAAAAATTACTATGAATAATTTTTTAATATTATTTAAACTCAAATAATTTTTAATATTTATATATTTCTATTGAAAAATAAAATATTAATTTTAAAAATTATATTAATTTAGATAAAAAAATCATTATTTTTTTAATATAATTTATATCTTTTTTCTTTTTATTTCAAATATTATATAAGCTGATATAATGTTATTTACTTTATTATTTTTATTCTAATATAAAATAAAATATAATAAAATTTTATTATATTCTTCCATATATTATTTGTATTCAAGTATTATATTTTATTATTCTTTATTTGATTATATCCACCAAACAAACTTTGACAGCAAAAATTTTATTTATTAGATGATCAAATATATTTTTTAATTAAAATAAAAAATAGGGAGTTAACCATGTCTATACAGTGAAGCTCTTTTAATTAAAATATAAGAACCCTAGTCCCAAAACCCCTAATCCCCATTCTCTAAATCATACACAAATTTTGTTTGAGCATAAGTGGCTAATGCTTGTGTGTCTCCAAAATCCATTCTCTAAATCATACGAAACCTCAGTGCTTATGCTTCATCATTCAAGAAACTAAGCTTCTTTCACTTCCTTCTGCTTGCAACATTAGAAACGCCAGCGTCTCTAGCTGTCCTAGTAAGTTTTCCCTCATCCGCTAACTGTCCTAGTAATTTTTTGTAAAAGCTGTAAAGATAGGGTCCATTTTCTTCTGCTTTACCAATTCTTTGAGCTGCAAATGTATCAGAAGCACAAAATCCACCACACAACTTTATAAAGTTCCTCACAATTCACTTTTCTCTCCCCTATTACACTGTTCCTGATGAGGAATTAATTCTGAAGTGGTATTTGAATTTGTTTAAAAGATATTTGGTAGAAACTAGAATTTGTTCCTAATCATGCACTTTTCCAAACTGTGGTTAACTTAGTTTATTTCATTGTAGCTCTAAAAGTTAGTTGGTAGACATATATTTAAATAATTAAATCTGGTAGGATTAAACATGGATTTAAATGTTAAATCTAAGCTGTGTTATACTGTAAGATATTTAGAACAGACATTTTGACAGCAAAAGCACTGGTGAATTTAATTTCAAGGTTGGGATGTGAGAAAGTAAAATTAAGTTTTAGCTTAATTATTAATTTTAAAAAAAAAGGCAAAAGTCTTGGGGGTAGCTGTAAGTTGTCTTTATGTATATTACCAAAAGTCAATTGAAACCTTTGGAGTTGATAATTAAGCACAGGTCTTGTGTTTGTCTGTATCGTAAAAGTAATATTATATTATCAATCCCCAACACAAAATTAATCTTCGCTCTGTGTGCCACAATCCGCAACTGATGTGAGATTTTCACTCTCTCTCTATGTGTTCCTCTTTCAATTCACTTTTACTTATGCCTTATCTTAAACCTGTGATTCTAATGCTAATCTTCCTAATTTTGTTGTTGCTGCAGTTTACTCGTGAGATGGGAGTGCTTGTTGCTGACAAACATGTTCAATATATATTATCAGTTGAAAAGGTGTGCTTCCCATTTTTACATCCTTTTCCAAAAACTCGTCTTTTATGCTTTAAATACTGCGGGTCTTCATTTTTCTATTTTCATATACCTTTTTTGGTTTCCAGAGGAAAGATAATTTTGAATCTGTGGTAATGGAGCATCTAAGAATGAATGGGGCATATTGGGGATTGACTGCTCTGGATCTTCTAGGAAAGCTTGATACTGTGGATGTTAATGAGGTTGTTTCATGGATGATGAATTGTCAGCATGAATCAGGTTGTTCCATATTTTATACTTTCCTGAAAATTACAATTTTTTTTTAATAATGTCAGTGACATGGATAATTATCTCATGAGATATTTGTTGTTATGAAGGGGGATTTGGTGGAAATGTTGGACATGATCCGCACATCCTGTATACATTAAGTGCTGTGCAGGTGTTGGCTCTTTTTGATAGGATGGATGTTCTTGATGTAGATAAGGTGACAGATTGTATCCTTGCACACATATTGGCTTACTTTGAAGGTTCTGTAATCTGTATTCGCAAATGTTTTGTGGAATTGGAGAAGTTTTGTTCTTTTTGCAAAATTTTTAACTACTATATTTCTGTTTGCTTACTAGGATATGTAGCTTTTTAGTTGCATTGTTGTTAAATGGCTTAATATGTTTCATAAAAAAAAATTAGTGTGAATTTCAATACAGTTTGATAGATTAGTTTCTAAAATTATGATAGTGAAATTTAATAAGTTGCAAAGTATACTAGATCTTGTGTTTCTTAATATTTACATCAGATGTTGTCAGCCTGCAAAATGAAGATGGATCTTTTTCAGGGGATATGTGGGGTGAAGTTGATACACGGTATTTTTCTTAAGGTCCATTTTGATTACTGACTGTGTAAGAGCTTACTTTATTGTTTACTAAAATTCACTGACTTATTTGTGTTAGGTTCTCATATATTGCTATTTGTTGTCTATCAATATTACATCGCTTGGATAAAATTGACGTGGAGAAGGCTGTGAAGTACATTATAAGCTGCAAAAATATGGATGGTGGTTTTGGTTGCACTCCTGGTGGGGAATCTCATGCTGGTCAAAGTATGTCCTATGTTATGCATGATCTTTACTTAATTATCAATTTCTCTATGTTACTCAATGTGTACTTCTTGTTCCCTTCAAAATTTGTGTTGTTTATTTCTTTCCCACTTGAGGGGAGTGCTTTATGTGGTGAGGGCATAATTTGAATATGTTATTTAAGGTTTTGGACTCAAGAATCTGTTTTCTCCTTGGCAACATACTAAGAGAGAGCTAAAAACAATATTTTCATTAGGAGAAATTTTCTTGTAGTGAAAATATTACAATTGGGGAATAATGTAGATAAATATCATACTCAAAAGTCACCATATTATTTTAATTGATATTTTCTAGTTTAATAATTCAAATTTGTGATCTGTGATTTGTGAGTTGTGACTAATACTATCACAATAATCCTTTAACCTCTTAAGAGGTTAATGAAAGTATGTTGTTTGGATAATCTCTTTAGGAGGCTTACATCCATAATTTGGAGCTCTGTTTTGGCAATGTTTACTGTAACCTTTGGATGGTACAGTAATTGATTGTTTTATGTGGTATTCGAGGATTAGGTGTAAATAGGATTTATTTGTGGAAAGGCTAAAAAGTTTATTTAGGATTGTCATGAACTAACTATCCCAAAAACTGAAGGTGTTAGGTTAAGACACATAATGGTCTTTTACTATACTTCTAACAAGGATGTGCAGAAAAAGGGAGATTTCAAAGATGGAAAATTATGCTTTCTTTTTAAACTAATAATGAGTTTTTGTAGAAGTGCTTGCTAGACTCAAAAGAGCAAATAAAAATGTCTGATAGGATCAACTCACAAGAAAAAATTGTTTATGTAAACTTGATAGAATGAGAGGGAAAGAGAGAAAACCAATTTGTATGGGAATATGCAAGTATATTGGGTTTATGTTTTCATTTATAATAATTGCACAGGTCTATTCCCAAAGAAAGTACAAGTGCAGTAAGCTGCAATACAATTGATATTATTCAACATCCACCCCAAGCTGGATAGTACATATTATATCCACCAAACCTATTAAATATAATTTGATGAAATTTGGGAGAATTAGTGACAATGTCTGCTAGCTAGTCATTTTGGTAGGCAATGACCTTCCACCTCAGTAGGTTAGTTGTTTTATATTGGAGATCATGTGTAGTGCTGCTTGATTATCACACATCAGCTGCATCTGTGCTGCATCACCTTGTCCCACAAACATCTATTTAGCGGTGGCAGGAAAGAAAATGCTCTTTGATTGGGCTCCCGGGCTGAGACTTGACCATTTGGACTAAAGGAAACTCAAAGATCGATAATGTGTCTGAAATACAAAATATCACTAACGGGGAAATCATTGCAGCCAGCCTAGCAAGAAAGAAAAATGCCTGATCTTTGTTGACATGGCAGAGTTAATCTGGTTTAGCCAAGTGATGACTGAGTAGGAGCAAGCAAAGCAAGTGCTGCTATTTTATGTGCTGGTGTGTGAGAGCTACAGTGAAAAGAAGATGCTGTATGAGGGGTGCATGAGACATCAATAGATGTTCTTTGACTGATTTGAAGAATCTGAAGATGACTATTGATTGTGGGGTTTAAGGTCCAAGGGTTTGAAGGTTACATAGTTCTAGACAGAACACTCTGAGTGAAGCTATGGTGGGATGTATGGATGATGGCTGAAACTTCTGGAATGACTCAAGACAGTATCAACTCAGATCTTCTCCCCTGGCAAGTGGCAATTGACACCAAATAGAGAATGAGAGAAAAAGAGATACATGAAACCAACTGAATGGGAATACAAAAGTATGTGGGTCCACCTAATTGCTGTAGTTTAAAATTTTAGATAACTGCTCAAGTCTATTTACAAAGAGAATTTGGATTAAGTGTATAACTACAATGCAACTAATAGTATTAGCTATGTCCACCTAGTATTTACATTATTCAATAGTTTTGGTAATTTTCCTGATAGAAATGTACTCTCCTTTTGTGGTTAAGATTTACACATGTTAGGTCTAAATTTGTGTAATTTTATATCTAGGGTTTACATTGAACTCGTTAACCAAATTGTGATTGCCAAATCCTTTAGTAATAATATTTGATACAATGTATAGTGCTTATCGTTCACCCAAGGAATGCATATAATAAATCAATTTTTGATTTTTCTATTTTCTGAATTTTGAATGAAAGAATGACATGACTTGAAGCATCCTTGTAAGATATTTACTTTTCCCATTGTCAGTTTTCTGTTGTGTAGGGGCCCTGGCCTTAACGGGTTCGCTTGATCTTGTTGACAAGGACCTACTTGGTTGGTGGTTATGTGAGAGACAAGTTAAATCTGGAGGTATGAATGGGCGTCCTGAGAAACTCCCTGATGTGAGTAAATCTTTTCAAATTTATGTTGATTGCTTTAGATACTCTAGTTCTCAGTTTCTTTTACAAGCTTTTATATCATCTCAGGTCTGTTACTCATGGTGGGTTCTTTCTAGCCTGACCATGATTGATAGGGTTCATTGGATCAGTAAGGATAAACTCATAAAGTTTATCTTAGATTGCCAGGTTAGTTACTTGAACGTCAATTCTGTGTTTATAAATCAGCAAGTTTCTGTTTCTTCTTTTGGAGTATTAAATATTGTCAAGTTAGTATCTCTGATATTATGCATGTTGAAACTGTTAGGACACAGAAAATGGTGGAATTTCAGACAGGCCAGATGATGCTGTGGATATCTTTCATACTTACTTTGGTGTGGCTGGTATAACATCTATCTTTTTGTCTTGTTTTTCCCTTCTATTTGGTCTTTATTTAATTGTGCTAAAATCTTGTAATCTGTGGTTCCCTTGGTTAATATGGGAAGTTGGGAACCACCTCAACTCTTCCTTTCCCATGCATTCAGATTATCCTGATGTAGTCTTCATCTCTATCATTTCTTCCCCATTACAGTGTGATAGGCCAAGTTCTGAATTAGGCAGTAATAATTCTGTATTAGGAACTTACTAAGCAGTTGTTTTAATATTACTTTCGTATTAAGCAGTTATAGGTCAAAATGTGATAGTTAGTGATATATGAATTGTGTTACAGAGTTGTAAAAGGGAAGGAAGGTATCAGATTGTTATTCCTTGTTTTTTTAAGGAGGAAACCCTATGTGTGTTAGGGGTAGTTTGCCAATTGCATATGTTTGAGACAGGAACACACACTGTCAGGGCTTAGGCCTGTGAATTCTATTGCTAGAACTCTAATTCTGGTTTCATCCAAAATTTCTATCAATAAGATTATCCTATTTGTATGTGCAAACTTTAGGGGCCTAGCACAATGCTGGTCATATATCTTGTATCTTATCCCTTTCTGATAGTGCAGTTCTTTTATTAATGTGTTTCTAATTTCATTTATACTATAAACCCAGGATGCTGAAGATAATTCGTTTGTTCTTGCAGGACTTTCCCTTCTTGAATATCCGGGACTGAAACCGATTGATCCAGCTTACGCATTACCCGTTCATGTTGTAAATCGAATTTTCTTTACTAAATAAGGACTTCAGTTTAGGCTCACAGTTGGTAGTTCGATCAAACCCCCTCCCCGCCCAAAAACATTAAATCATAGGAATTATAATTTTCCTCATTTTTCTGTGAATCTTGAGCATCTTTTAGTTAAATTGCAGAGATACGACATATGAAGTTTGATTAGTGTTATGTCAACCATCAAATTTATGTTACTATATATAAATATGACTAGAAATTTAATATACTAGTCATGCCCTTGCCTTTGTGACTTTTTTTTAACAAGTGTTTTATTTTTTTCTTAAAAAGAATAAACATAATAATTTATTCACTGAATAAAATTGAAGTGAACCTTCAATCTGAGTTTCTGTTTGACATCAATCTGGATATCATTGTGATATTTAGTGCACGTGGGCAACTTTTCCTACTTATTGTAGTAAGGTGGGTGGTAGAAAATTCAAATTGGGATGGTGAATACGTGGAAATGATTCTGGAAGGTTTCTAGAACATTATGATGAATGGAATGTTGTCTAGAGGACAAGGGGGTACTGGGACATCCAAATAAGTACTAAGTTGATGTCCTTAGTGAGAGTCAGCACACATGCATCAGTGAAACAATAGAAGACATTGGGATGTGGGGAGTGTTTATTTTCATTCTCATATATCTATTCTTATTCTCTATTGAATATTTTTTATTTAAATATTGTTATTATGATTTAGCTTCCTTCAATTACAGTATAATTCCTGGTCCTCCCAAGAAAAATCTAAACTCTGCCCTCAGTAATCTATCATTGTTGACTTGTAGAAATAGTCGTCAGGGCTATGGGATTGAATAAGCCGCCTAAGAAAGAAGATTCCTTTAATACTCAATGATCATGACATATTAGTTGAATATAATCAATATGTTGACTGCATTTAGCTGACTAATGATTAATTAACAGGAGTATATTCAAATATTGTCACGGTTATTTCCTTCAATTACATATTTTGTGTTCTTATTTCCTGTCTTTATGCCTATCTCTGTGTCTTCTTCATTCATGTTTAATTGTGCTTAATCGATCAAAGTTATGATACAACCAGTTGAGTCTCTCATTTATATCCTAATTAATGTGGTGCTGCGAAATGTTTAAATTATTACAAATAGCTTCTTGATTTCTTTAAAATATAATTTTAATATGTTTATAAAAAATATGGGGATATTCTGATTCTGGTGTTTCACTGAAATGGCAATTCAACGTGCTTAACGCATTTTTCTAATAGTTAGAAACGATTGAAAAAAATCCTGAAGTTCCAATTGTTATATATATGTTCTGAAATGGATGTGTTAATTAATTATTCCCACACTAAAATATAGAAAAAGGTCTCTTGATATGTCAGAGGACGACTCTCAATCTGAAGATGAGGAACTTTGTAAAATTGATGAGGAAGATGAACATCTTGCTAAAGTTCAATCAGAGGAAAATGAACACCTTCGTAAAGTTCAAGTAGATGAAAATGAACATCTCACCAAAATTCAACAAGATGAAGATGAAAGTCTTGCTAAGGCTCAACTTGAGGAAGATGAGCAACTTGCTAGGGCAATTCAAGAAAGTCTGAACGTTGATTCTCTTCCTAATTTCACAATGATTCTTCATTTCTATATTTTCCTCACCTCTTTCCCCCTGGATACAGGTAATTGTGAGTATGATCAAATCTTTATTTGAATGACAAGTCCAAATACTGTTAATGGAAACTGCTGAAGTTCCCTAGTTCAAAATGACAGAAAAATAAGCTTGTGCCAAAAATAAAAGGCAAAAATTTTTCCAAACAGAATATGTTTTGAAACTTCAATTTTAAGTATTGCTGGATTATGCTTAGCAAACCTAAAAAATGTACATAAGTAGGCTTAAGATTGTCTTGTTTCCCCTTTGTTTCTCTTACCCCTTTTTCTTCATCTCTCTCATGGATGACATTTTGAATCATTTTGTCATCTAAAATTTGGAATCGTAAGTGGAAAATTATGCTGTTGGCCTTTTTTTTTCAACGTGAAGCATGACAGAAATGTTGTCATCATGAAAAGGGGATTAATGTCACCTTTGTTAATAAAATCTAAACGGAGATAACAATGCTCAAACTAGTGTGATAAAGATATTTCTTACCTTACTTTTCACGGTTTCATGAATCTTTCTTAATTATTAAAAGTTTAAAAACAAAGATTTAACCTTGTTCTGTAAAATCTTCCTGCAAAATCTGTGCTGGATGCAAGACTGAGATTGGCCAAGGAAGATTTTGAAGTTGCATGGGAGCTGTCTGGCATCCAGAATGTTTCTGCTGTCATGCCATCTGCCTATCACTGATCACGAGGTTAGAGTCTTCTTTTCTTTTGTGCCTCTTCACAAAATTGAACTTAATTAAAATAAGTTGAAACATTTTTTTGGGTGAAAAGGCAAGTTGAAAACTCTTTTCTGAACTTCTTAAATCAAGGTCTCCAATTTTCTCTCTCTTTTTGATCAATCTTCATTTGATTCTGAATAATGCTTGATCCTTGAGTCTTTCTTTTACAGTTTTCCATGTCTAGCAATTGCCCTCACCATAAATCATGCTACAGGGAGAAGTATCACCCAAGATGTGATGTCTGCAAGACTATGTAAGCTTTGCAGTTGTTTTTCGCTTATTGTTGTCTATTAGTTAATTCTGTGTGCTTGTTTTATCAAAGGGTTCTCTCAATTTTGACATGATTTAGAAATTGCACTACATTGTTCAATATACATATGCATGGAAGACTGTTGATATTGAGGTGCTATACTTGAGGATGTTCTGCTGAACTTGGTAGTCATTTGGCCTTTATAACAAATCATGGGCCAGTTACCTGACTAAAGTAACATCAAGTGAGCCCTTTGTGGAGCTGATATTAGTTTGATATTTTGGGTCAGACAATATAAGTATGACTGGTTCTTAAATTAGGCTTGGATCCCCGCATGAGTCGGATGTAGTTATGTTTTACTTAATTTCAATATCTGGCTTAGTACTTTGCAGGAAATCGTGGATCAGCTACTTTAAGTTACAATCATTGCGTTTTTATTATTCAAACCTATTAGAGATTTAGGATTTTCTAATTTTTCTAGTTTGAATTTCTGTCAAAATATGCTGTCAAGAAATTGGATAAATTAGCACTATTTAGAGAAACATGACAAGATTTTTTGTTTAATAGCCCGATTACCCTCAAATGTTTATTGTAATTATTCAGTCATGCATGGTGGAGTCATTTGCAATCATCCGATATAATTAATTGAGATCCTCAGATTTCAAGGAAATTGAATACTAAACCTTAATTTTATAATCTACATCAAACTTTTTTACTTGCATAATGCTACAGTTTTAGGTGGGCCTATAACGTGTTCTGTAAATATTTGAAATGGTGATTGAGTTAAGTTTGCTAGCAATGTTTTATTAATAGAGTTGCATTCTTTCCACTGCCTTCAAGCACTAAAAGTAGGAGTGCAACAAAAAAGGTGTTGGGAAAGAATAGGGCTCATTACAAGGAAATAGGGGATAAGATGTACTTATTTTTCCTCCTTAAAATAATAATTAACTAATTTTTCCTTTTTCTACAAAGCTGGTATGTATTGTTCACTAAACTAGAATGATTGATTCATTCTTTGCAGATCCCAACTAGTTCAGCTGCCTCATTGAGTATAGAGCTCATCCTTTCTGGCTACAAAAATACTGCCCATCTCAAGAGCTTCATGACACTGCTCGTTGCTGTAGCTATGAAAGAATGGAGATCAGTTATATCCTCTCTCAAAACATTTCATCCTGTTATTAACAAGTAGGAGCTACCGATGGATCCCATTCCCCACCCACTTTTTCTTTTTTTGTCTTTTCAATAATCAGTGCAGCCAAGGGATACAAAATCTCTTTTGCTTGATGACGGTGGAAAGCTATGGATACACATGAATGTAAATCTCTCTACCTTGAAATACAATAAATTTATGAAGGTTTAAATATGAAATTGGAGCAGCAAATTCCTAAATGTTGAGAGGCAAGCTCTTAATGAGGCCATGGAGGGGGGAAAGCATGTAAGAGTTAATGTGACTGCAAATTCACTGTTGTTCCTCTTTAATAACTTTGTGATTCGATTGATGCTGGTTCACAAAATTTGATTTTGAAATCTGCGTGTTCTGTAATATTTTCTTCACGAAAGGAATTTCCTTTTGAAATTAGTTTTCTGATCAGTGATATCAGTTGTGGAGAATCTTTCATTGTCAGTATCAATTGTTTTTTAATATAGTAACTTTCCACACACACACGTGAATGTATTCTGGAATATATTTTCTTACCTTCTCGTGGGGAATATTTTTCAGTCAAAGGTTGGCCAACCTGAAGGTGGATAATTTTGCATCGATTTGGGTTGGTTTACCAAGTTGCTTAAGGGCTCTGATCATAAACTTCCTCTCTTTTCATTTTTGTTAACATTATATTTAGATGAAATAAAAAATGAATATAAAAAGCAAGTAGAAAAAAATATAATAACAAGAATGTATAAAAACTAAAATAAAAAAGATGTTATTTAAATAGATAAAAATATTATGTGAAAATATTATAACAAACTTCATATAAATATTATTATCTTTTCTACTAAGACAAACAAATCAGAAAAGAAATAGTGAGGATCCAGACAAAGCATGCAAGTCTGTTTGGGAACGGAAAGGACAAAGTTTGGATTTTCATTACGTCAATGTAACATGAAACAGATGTTACGAACACAATAAAAAATTATTCGTGTTATATACTTCTAACACTCACTTATTTTTATTATAAACATAATGAATCTTATATAATATGCGATTTACTTGTTATTTTTAACAAAATATAAGGATAAGTAGAGAGAATTTTTTAACACTTCTTTTTATACCAAAGGTATTTTTTATTGAAAGTAATCATGCCTCTTTTTCTGAGCTAATTAACTGATTATCCACATATTTGATGATTAAAATATACTTTATTATTGATTAAAATTGATCAAAAATTATAAAATATTAACAAAATTCATTAAATTAACAGTGAAACCTATGTAATTATATTTTTTTTTGATAAATTTTATCTAATAATAAATAGGATAAAAAATTATATTAACATTTTTTAAATAAATTTATAACAAATGTCGTATCTCTTACGTATGACTTCCTCCAAATATGCAGTATCTTTACAAGTTACAACGACTCTAGAATCTCTGAATATCTTCTTGAATTTTAAAAATATAATATAATAACTAATTTCTAAGGGGTCAATTTTCAACGCCGGCTCAATTTTTATTTTTGAAAATAAAAATAAAATATGTAATATCTTGAATTAAATGAATCTAAAATCTTCGGCCCAATTTGTTTTACTTTTCTTGAATATGAAACCTTCTTTGACAAAAAATAAAAATAAAAATAATTATAAAACCTGCTATGCTTTCTTCCATTTTATATAACATAAAATAAATTTATTTTGTGTCTAAAAGTTATATTGTAATTGACCATAACAATATTAATTATTAATATATAATTATTTATTAAAAGAATTTTTTTATTAATCAAATCGTTTTACAATATTATTATAAAATTATAGATATAGGAAGGATCTTTTCACGTTAGAGCAAGTTTATACACTTTTACATTCAATTTGAATTTTTTATTTAATTTATATTTATCGATCAGTGAAGTAATAAATTATAACCTATTAGATATAAGTTAAATATAATAAACATGATCTTCTCACATTAGTATAAGTCTAAAAACTCTTACACATAGTGAAATGATAAATTATAACCAGTTAAATAAAAGATTCAGATTTAGTATAAGAATTTTTAGACTTACACCAATATAAAAAAATCATGTTCATATATATAATTTTATACATTCATAGATATGTAATTAGATAACCCTTCTTATGTTATCCGCTTTGGTAAAATGAATCTACTCTACTAAAAACTTTAAATTGGACTTAACCCATCACAAATTATTAAAAAGAACGAAGAAAATTATTGTCTTACATCTTTCATGACGGCTTATAAAACTAATTTTCAGTTTTAAACCACAACTATCAAACAAAACTGTCTTTTCTCTTTTATGTTTTGTCGTATGTAAGATTTGAGATGAAGACCTTGTAGTTCATAATTTTCAAATGTGAAATGGGCGCACAATTAGTGGCCCTTGAATTTTCATACCTATTGTTCATAATTGCTGACATTGACCATCTGAACAACTAATTAATTATAAAAAATGCTCCAGAGAAATTGAGAATTAGGTAAGTACAAAGTATACTTTTTGTCTCCGGAGAATTGGAGATGCATATAAATAAGTTATTAAGTTTATGAAATGGTTAATTTTTTATTAGAGACTTGGAAAACCCAACTAAGCCAAATGAGGATAATTATTTCATGTTTAATATACTTTCACTTTTTTTGGTTGAAATGATGTTTATACACTACAGTACAATTTCAATTTCTTATAGCTGTACGAAGACTTTTTCCCTTTTTCAGCTCTGAGTTTTTTTTAAGACTTTTATTTATAGATGATGTTCTCTCGTTTGTGAAGAAAATATTTCTTAATCGCCCATTTATAATATTATGTTTATAGATTAACTGTTATTATACTTGGCTGAATATACTTATATTTTATGAAATTTTGTACTCTTACTTCAGCTTCGGCAGCTAAATATAAAAACGAAAGTGTAATATAATTGTCACTTGGCTGTTTGTGATTAGAACATGTTTAATAATTTTGTAATTGATTACGTTTCGCTTGTGATGTAAATGACATCAATCTATCGAACATTATGATAAGAAAACTAGAACTGACATAATTGGAGTTTACTTGAATTATTTCTAGCTGTTTTTTTAGTCCCTTGAGTATTTGACAACTTCATAATCAAATCATATACAATCATTCGAAAATCCATAAGGAATATATATATATATATATATATATATATATATATATATCACAGGTGTTTTAATATTTAATTATCAAAGTGATAAGCTTACCTCGAGTTCTCTGAATAAATATGTCATCACCAAGTAGCACCTTGCCACCTTCCTTATTCAAGTCAATTTATCAGCCTTCAAGTGAAAAAGACAAAAATTTCATTTAATATTTAATATTACTGGATATTTTAAAATTAACATTAACATTTTTATTAATAGATAATTAACTTAAGTATTATGTGTTTATTTTTTAATTTAAACTTTTTGTATAAAACATCATTATTATATTGTAAATTTTCTTAATTCAAACAAAATTGCATTATAAAAAAAATACTATAGTTATTCTGTAACTTAAATTAGTAATTATTATTAAAATAAAATACTAATTTTGATTAAAAACAACATTAATTATAATACTGTTTATAAGTTTTTTCTAAGTGAAACTTTGAAGTTATGTGTGTGTATATATATATATATTATTATTATATAAAGCCGACCTTTGGACATGTACAAGAGACTCAAAGCCTTATTCCTTTATAAAAAGAGGGTTTGTCTTGAACAAACAGAAGCATGCATGAGAATGAGAATTAGAGAAGAGAAATGTTGATAGAGGAAACGTCTAGGGACTCCTGTCGCAGGAGAGATGACACCTTCTGTTACTGATTAAAGGAAAATGGTGCAAAGCCAATTTTAATTAATTAGTACTTAGCAGTAGTTGTCATCTTTCCTGGGCTGGTGCCCCTGCACTTTCTGTACAATTCCAAGTCCTAATTTATCAGAGCCAAGGTAAGAACCTCTTGCATTTTACTTTCTGTTTTTGTCTTCCAAAGTTTGAATCAATACACTAAGGGAGTTTTTAAAAGAGTTTACAAAAATATTTTTTAGTTTTTACAAGCTCTTTTCAGCTCGTTTTAATAATTCAATATGAAATATTAAAATAAGTTATTTATAGAATATATAAGGGCTTATTTAAATTTCATTTGTGGAACTAAATCTTATAAGTTGATTAGTTTGTGGATCTGCACATGCTTTTCTCCTCAAATTTTACTGCACCATTGATGTATCCTTGATATTATTAAGCAAAGTCGAGAAAAGGCTTAATTTAAAATGAACAACTAATTAGTTTGAAGAAGACCTATTAGTTTTAATATTATTTACAAACAAATTTTGAAATTTCATTGACTAAATCAAGCTATATACTAATTACCCCATGACAGTTGTTTAAGAATAATGATTTATTTTCTATAAGTGAAGTGACTTTCTTCTTCCATTATGAATGTTAACAAACCCACTCTATTCTCCAAATGCTGAGTTGTTAATATGTTCATGAAATGCTAGTCATTCTCTACCCTTTTCTTTCACCATCTTCTCTCAATCATATATAATAAGTTATCTGGATTATAATTTGAACAAGCTTCTCTCCTTGACACTAGCTAGAAATGGTAACGAATTCAATATCTTATTCAGTCATTGTTTTTTATACACAAAGTATATAGATAAGTGGATAGATATGAACCAAAAGGAGGAGAAAAGTTTTGTAGATATCAAGACATAAAAATCAAAAGTGATTAATTTTCTTTGTGTTGTACGTTTAATGAATTTATTTTGAGAAATTATACCCTAAGCTGGATAAGCATATACTCTTGGCTGAATCAATAATCTTTCGCGAGCTAGCTGAGTTGTAGCCTATAGCTAGGGCTATGCTCATTAGAGCTTGCTCTTCATTATATGTTAGTGTTTGTATATTACGAAGATGATTAATTAATTATAGTCTCTCCAAATATGAATGAAATGCTAGTCTCTCATGTGATCAATCCAAAACTAGTAAATAATGATCAATTTGCAAATATTCTTATTTAGATCGTTTCTTTTCAATATTTTTTACTAATAATTATTATAACTTTTTTAAATTCAATAAAACACAGATACAAATTTTTTGTTTTCTTTGTAATCTTTTGAAAAAAAAATTATTAAAGAAATATATTAACTGAAAATGAAAATAAAAATAAACTGAATGCACCGTGCTTTATAATTACCCAAACTAACCAGATAATTTATATGGTTACAATATATATTATTAATAAATTTTTCTAATTTTTGTCTAAAGATATATATTAAGAAGTTAAAAGTAAAAGAAATTATTAAAAATAAAAAATTATTATCTTAAAATCATAAAAAAAATCAATAATTATTTTTTGTAGTAACTTAAAACATAATAGGTTATGTTTAATATTTTTTAACATGTATTTTAAACCCATTTTAAAAAAATATAATTAATATAGCTTAACAACATGTATAAGATAACTAAATGGATTCTAACTTATCTAATTAATTAGGAAGTTAATCATTGGGGGACATCATTGTATTGTATTACTTTCTTATAATGTGAAAACTATGATTGTGTTCTACGAGTAGATATGTCTATTTAATGCCCTCTATGTCGTGAAGTCAATCACATTTGCAAAATTGTTTCTCCATTATGTGAGTTGAAAAATAAATCGTTTGCACCCCATAGAAAAAGTTTGAAATAGGTGGAGAAAAAAGAGATATAGGGAGAAAAAAGAAAGAGAGAGAGAATGAATTATGTGTTTGGTGATATAATAAGTGGGGTAAAACAGAAATAAAAATAAAATTGATATTGAATGAATGTAAAAGAAAAAAGATATAAAAAATAGAATTAATGTGAATTAAGGTTATTTCCTAATTAAGCTATCAGAAAATAGATTTCGGATATTACTCGTATATATGTTTGGAGAAGCATTGCGAAAAAAGAACTCATCTTTCTTTTTGTATTACCATTAAATGAACTTGAACTAATATATGCATACATACTATGTTTGGGAAGTTTCATACTTTTATACTACCCAATAAAAATAGTATTTAGCATAAGTAAAGAGTGATAAAAAGGGTGCAATCATGCTCTAAATTATACTTATCCTTGATATAATATTAAATAAATGGTTAAAATTAATTACTTGATCCCTCTATATTAGGTGAATTAGCTAAGTTTTAAAATTTTAAATACTTATATTTAATATTTCATTTCTTTGACCATGGAAATTTTATTCGATCAGATGTTATTGATCCTGTTATTGGATCCAAGGGGTACAGTTAATCATTTAAAGAACTATATTTGCATAAAGTGTTTTTGCCTTCAAGATTGTTGTGTTTTTGTCTGTGCCTTCAACATTTTACTTAATAAATACTAGTACCCTCTGCCGTTGGGCCTTAAATTTGTGCAATCAATCATTAGAGAGACATGACTATCACAATGGGGCAATGTTTCTTTCAATCTCTTTCACCACTTTTGTCTCTTATGGGATCCCACGAAAATGAGTGGAAAAATTCACAATTTCACTAGTTTAGATGTTTATTGTATATTGGAAGTAGAGAAAATGTAAGGTGGGGCTTGCACAGTCACACCAAAAAAATCCACTCACTCCATGTTGCTATTTTGACACTGGCTGGGAACAATGTATTTTTTAATGTGCTTTTTTATTTTAATATTAAATGATTTTTAAGGTATTATAAAAATAAGTATTAAAAATGGTATATTAAAAGTTTAAATTTTTGGAGGGGCTAGGGTTTTGCTGCTCAGAAATAGCTTTTTAACTTGTTTTAAAACTATTCTAGGATAAATTATGTGATTAGTACTTCATTCCGGTGTAAGGTGATGTGTGAAATTTTATTTTTTATTTTTAGTATGACTAATGAAAGAAAGAAAAGAGAGATGAGAGTTATAGACGATGTGTGATTTAGTCCATTAAATATTGGGCTAAAGTGATTTTATTCATCCAAGTTCTATATTAAAAATTTTGAAGAAGTAGAAATGTCTTACAAAAACTATGATCTATTAGTGAATTTTTTTACCATAATATAATAAGGACTTGGATAGTTGTCTATCAAGTAAAAGTTTGTAATTTGATCAGTCTGAAAATTGTACATGAGAGTTTATAATATAATTAATCAAAATTTAAAAATAATAAAACCATGTTAAGTTGATAGATGTAGATAAAAGGTGTCAAAGCATACTTGCGATGAGCCCATTGACTAATGGAATATGCATCTTGCTGAAAATGCACTTAACTAGGGAATTTTCTCAGTAATTTAGGCTAAACAGTTAATGGTGGACTCAATTTGTGGTTGACTTGACCCTAGAACAGGTCGAAAGTGACAGAGGGTTGAATATTGAATAAGACCTTACATACCCATCCAACCATACAGCCTTGTTGATTATTGGTAGTTTAATAGACCCGTCAAAGATATAACCAAGTTAACGTGTAGAAAAGTAGTTGAGCAGGTGTCAATTATGGGAAATGACTTCAACGAGTTTGGCACCCAAACATAAGCATTATAGAAGAAGAAAATATTATCGAAAAGTTAGGCTTATAACAACATCAAGTGGAAAATCATATTATAAAAGGAAAAAAAAGATACATAAAACGTATTTCCATTCCAACCCCCTCCTACCATGACATTATCTTTATCCCTTTCTTTGTTGTTCCATAAGTAAAAACAATGAAGCTACGGAACCTTCAATGGTTGTCACTGATTAGCCGAATTGAAGTCAAAGGGGAAGGGGGGGGGGGGGTGTTGTAACCAGGGACTACAGAGTCAACTGTCATATATACCCATATACCACTATTACAGGGTGTGATCCAACTCTGTAGTCAATCTCATTTCACTAGAATTGTCTCACTTTTTTCTTCTCAATATCAAAGACTGTGTGTATACTTGAACTACTTCTTTTCCTACTGGAAAGAGACACTATTTTACCGACTGATCATGCTAACTAAACATGCACATAAAAACTAAAAGCCAGTGGAAAATAATCTTCTAGCCGGTTCTTATCATCACACACATTGTCTAGGCCGGAACTTTTCATTTGACAACAATGAGCTGATTAATGTTTCAAGTCTTTTGGAACCTTGGCCAGGCCTCAGGACTGTAGTATTACCAACTACCGTGCAGGGATCAGTGCCGTTCTCCCTGCTTCCAATGCACCAACCGCCGGGAACGGTCATGCCAGGACCTCTAGATAATAGTTCAGCATCAACTTTGTCCAATACCGGGTCGTCTCTGTGGAACTTCCTCGCAAAGGGGGCATTGCTGCCAACCATATTTCCCATGTCAGCGAGTGTAAGGTAGTGAGGATGTTGCTTGGGGGGATTGTCCCAGGCAATGAAATGTAGATCACTATTCACAGTTGTGTTCCTGAACTCTTGAGCATTACAAATGACTGTGTGGAAGTATCCTTCAGGGGAAGATATGAAATTTGAGTAGTACATGAGAACAGTCCGAGGAAGGTTGTCCCATCCCCATATGCAGTAATCTATGAAAGATTTTGATAGTGCCATCCAAGCCGAACCTAACAAGAGAGAAGTTTTAGGTAATCAATCATTTAGCATAACATTCTTGCTTCTAGGGTGCATGCAATCCAAACTTTAAATATACTATCAAATTTTAGGAATTGTATATTTTACTAATTACAATTTATTAAAGCACAAACTAATTAGGCCTACATAATACACATTTTCAAAATAAGTGAAGTTTATTTCCATGTAGAAGACTTTTTAGACACACAACAATGACAAAGGTATGCATAAGTCGAGTAGCACAAAATCCACTCATCAAGTCCAAGGAGGGAAATTACACCATGATGCATCAACAACGTAATTATACAAAATCAATTTAAATACAATCCACTGATCAAGTTCATGAAGGGAAGATGAGTCACAATCCCCGACAACATAATGTACAAAGCTCAAGTACAATAACAAAAGATCTTAAAGCACCAGAATTGGATCTCCAGTGCAATTTATGATGATCAAAATGGATCAGTTGGACTCAGCTGTCACGAGGAGATTGGATTCAATCTAGGACATTGAGAGGATTGTTGTACTCTACAACAGTTCAATATATGATCCGAAGCAAAATATCATTAATCCTGCAGGATATACTCTCCCATCTAGTTCCCTTATTTCCGAGAAACATGATGAGCTCTACCAAAATAACTTATATGACCAGCATAAGCAATATAGTAGCATATGAGAAAGAAGACATCACCGATAAACTTCTTTAACACATTGCTGCACTATACCCATCTCATTAGTGGGTAAAGTTCACAATGCACTTTAAAATAAAATTAAATAAAGGGTGGAGACACCCTTACTTGCTCAATTTAAGAGACAAGCTCACCTTTGAGGAGTCTTGTCCAAGATTAAAATTCAAATAGCAGCAATGTTTACACCTTCTAGGTGTTCTATAATAAGTCACCCAATGTAAAATCATTTAACACATTATCAATATTTGGCCAGCTCCACAAACAGATTCCAAACAGGGCTAAGCAGTTTTCACCTCTTCTCAGAAAATCGGTGTAATTAGCACTTTTACAATTACCTTCCACAAGTTTTGCCCCTAGTGTCTAGCTAAAGTATGTTTTCCAGCTAAGTCATGCATTAAGAATAAAAAACATACCATTGAAACCATACCAAGAACCAGTCATGGTGCAAATGTAATAATTATGAAAATATCATTTACCAGCAAGGTATCCATGCTATATCATTTCACACCAAATTAAAACAAACATCACAATTATTTGATCTAGTCCAAATGATTGAACGTGGACAAGTCAGCAAAATCAAACAAAATTTTATTAAAGAGAGATGTTTTATTGCAAGAAGTTACAGTACTCTGACCTAGAAAAGATGGAAATTGATTAAACTTCTTGAAAAAATCGTTTTGAACTTTTAATGCACAGAAATGCATACAAGTCACTTCGTCCACAAGTCCTAAGACATTACTTAATCAACTTGCAGAATCAGAATAGATAAATGCATAGTTGCAAGCGATGCTTCCTGCCATGCATCTAAACCCCAAAACTGAATTGATAATACAACAACAACAATGACGAAACCTTATCCCACTAAATTGATAATACAACAACAAAACCTTATCCCACTAAATGAAATCAGCTACTACGCCACTGGACTCGTCAGAAACCCTAAACTGAACTGATATTCTGATAATACCATGAGACATATACACAAGGTTTTTCTTAACCATCAAAACCTTAATTGCCTCACAACGTATTCAAACAATATGCCCTGATCAAGCTACGATTCATTCCTTTTCAAAATTAATAAAACCTCTATGCAAACACAGAATATCTACCCACACAAACCCAAACGAGAAAACATGAAAAAACTATATATTATTTTATCCAAAAAAAGAAAGAAAAAAAACCCAAAAGCAAAATTAACATCACAAGAAAAGGATCTTCACCTGTGAAAAGCTTGAAAGCTGTTGGCCTACTCCTCCTCTGAGTAACCCAAAACACATCTTGCTTCTTATTCATATACAACCCAGGATCAATAATTATTGGCCTCGCTCGTTGATGACTACACATCACAAAAACCAATCACATACATAAATAACCAAAAACATTAATTAATCAATCAATCAATTAATTAATATTAATTAATTAAAAAAACTCACTCTTTCCATCCAATGTCACTAGTATGATCAATGAAATTCAGATCCCGAGGCAAGTATGAAAACGTGTGCAACAGATCTACCCATTCAAAACATCGTTAAAAAAAAAAACACAAACATTAAACCAAACATTAAACATTAAATTTTTTAAAAAAATATATGAAAAAGAAAACACCAATTAATAACTAACCATCTTGTGTAACAAGAGGATAATCAGAAGCACTAAGATTGATGAACCAATCCCAATCGCCACATTCCCTTAACAAAATAGCTGCAGCGTGGAGTGTGTTAGCAACCATAGTGGGTCCTCTATAGGTAACAAGATTCGCCTTTGAGATCATCCTCACGTTCCCAAATCGCTGGAAGAGCGCGTGGTCTTTCACAAACCGTTGCAGATCCAAACGCTCATCTTTCGAAGACTCAAGGTCGAGGTGCACGATGTAGCGGTTATGGGGGTGGTAGAGTGCTAAAAGCACGCGCTTGATGGCGCGGCCGTCGCCGGCCGAGCCGGAGATGAGGTAGGCGAGGCGCGGCGGCGGAGGGAGGGTGGAGACGGGAAGAGGGTGGAGCTTGGATTCGACGAAGACGGAGTAAGAGGCGGTGATGGAGCGGTAGAATGGAAGAATTGGTGTACCCTCCGGTGAGGTTAGTGTGGCTACAAAGAGAAGGAAGAGGGAGAAAATGGAACCTATTGCGAGTGGAAAGACCCATTTGCGTTCTGTTGATGGGTGGTGGTGGTGGTGATGGTGTCTCAAGTGCATATAATAGTTCTTCAATTTCTTCATTTTTTTTCTGTGTTCGTGTGGTTTGGGTTTCTTTTTCTGGTTATGTTTGGTGAGAGAATAAAAGAGATGAAGAGAGAAAGAAACCCCTTTTTATGAAACCGTTTATGAAGTGAAGGGTTGTGATTTTAACTGTGTAGGGTGGGTGAAGAAGAATAAGTTTGGATTTTTAGGTGTGGGGTGCTGAGAAATTGTTGAGGTGGGTGAAGTGATTGTGTTTCATGTTTGAGTGTGAAGAGGAAGAACGGTGATGATGATGGTGTGCGCTTCTTTGATCTTTAAAGAGCGTTAAGATTTGGAAATGGAAAGATACAGATACAAGGCTACAATATAAGAGCTTATTTTGTTATTTTTATTTGCGGAAAGAACACTTTTTTGAATCATATTTCATTGTTTTCATAATCATGTATCTTAGAATATACTATAAAACAAAACAAAAAAATTGAAGTCTTTTTTAAAATAATTTATTGACATTGTATAAAAATAAATATTTTTAATGTTAAATAAAAAAAATAACATATCTTTATAAAAATATAAAAACTCTTTTCTTATGTTTAATTTTTTATAATTATTTTTTATACAGTTCATTAAAATAATGTATTATAGTTTATTGAATGACTATTTGTTTTTATCACGGCGCGACTGAAGGGAGAATTTGGTGTGAAGGCTTTGAATTCACTCTATTGATTTTATTTTTGGTGCTTTTCTTTGGTATGATCTGAATGGGGAAGGATTAGTCCTAATTTAGACTTAGGATTAATTAAGATTCGACGTTGACATCGTTTGTGTCTTGAGTTGGGTAATTGGATGTGTTTTTTTCCCTTAATATGCTGTGTTTGTTTGTGTTTAGATAACGTATAATTGTTTTGAGAAAAATAATAATAAAAAAAAAACACAAGTAGAAGTTAGTGTTACTGTTTAGTGGCGATTACGTGTCCAAGTAAAACTAATTTATAAATCTTCCGAAATAGAAAAGATTACTCGCTTCGCACAGAAAGAGAATCGGGTATTTAACTGTTTAGTAATAATAATTAAGCAGCAGTTTAAAGTAGTAATTGCAAATTACGGTGTGCGTGGGCAATGCGTTTGTTGTGGAAGGTTATAACTGATTTTGTTATTAATTAATCATGATCTTATAATAGATCTTTTCATTTTTTAAATTAATTTTTATCAATATTCAAAGCATATTTCATTATTGATGACTAAATGAATGAATATAAATTACTTTCAAAAACTATGTTAGCTAACTTATGAAATTTAAATGCAAAACTTGTAATAAATTTTGAAGACAATTCGAAGAAAGAGAGGTGAAATAAAGAAAATAATGTTAATATTTTAATATATAATTGAAAGTACAGTGATAAATTGTTGAAAAAAGTAACCTAACAACATAAAGCGAGATAAGTGTGTCATTTATTTGTTGAGAAGGTTAAAGTTGATTTCATTAGGGAATAAATATGACCTTACTTTGTATGTTAAAATTGACTTTTTAATTTAAGTAATATTTAAAACAGTATTTATTAATGATAAACCAATATAAGTTAGTTCCAGAATTGAGCTGATCTATTCATACAAAAATTTACAATTTTATTAATAATGTTTGTTAGGATTAGTTTTTTTTAGATGTTTTAACAATTTTATTTTATTATTTTATAAAACCAATGAATAAACAATTAATAAGATAAATGATTCAATATTAATTAATTTAACAACAGATGGAGTGTATAGTAAGAAATTAATAAATAATTTTTTATTATATTTAAAACATTGATTATTTTCTTAATTTTAAAAAAATTTAAATATGAAAGAAAAAAATAAAAAATTATTATTATTCTTTCTAATTTCGAAAGAATAAATATTTGTTTACACACAGTTATATATATATATAGAAAAAACAAACATCAATATTATTTTAATTCTAAATATTCCTAAAGTTAAAATTTGAGTTCATTAATGTATGGTACATTCAGAAGTTTTTTAAAGATTGTTAAATTCTTCTTAATAAAATACTTACTATTTATTAATAAAACATATTCATTTGTTTAATAAATAATACAACAGTTTAACCAAATGACACTAATTTAACTATTTAATATTATTAAATTTAATGGAATAGAATATAAGTTTATTAAACATAACACACTATTTTAAAATCTTACTAAATTGTAATTAAGTTATAATAAAGAAAAACAGATTTGGATTAGAAGGATAGTTGAAAAGTAAACGGTACCTAACAGAGTTTTTTATATTGAGTTGCCTTGGACCTCAATTATGTACTGATACGATCAGGATTCGCTGACATGCTTCCATTGTAAACTATTTATATAACCGAATCGATTAAATCATTAAATAAAAAGTATATACTAAATTTTATAAAATGAAATTTTATGAAAGGTTTTATACTAAAGGAAATTATTTGATAAACTTGTAATAGAGTCGTCGAAGATGCTCTTATATAACACCGTACGCTTATATACTCAAAAAGTACCCAACGATGTAACGTGCTTAACCCGCATTCATATAATAAATATAATCGATTTAAAATAGTTATACAAATCATAATAAAAGATTATAGTAATATTTCAAAATTACAATTTGAGGAAGCAGTGACCTAAACTTTAACACTTATCTAAGAAACGACTTGACTTGGCAACGTGAAGCATTTATATTATAATTAATAAAATTCAGATATTAAAAAACAGTGAAGTTGAATAAAAAAAGTCTATTATTGCCAACCCTACTAATTATATGCATTTCATAAAGTCGTTTTAAGGGAAAAGAATTCCGTGTTGAACGTGGAAACTAAAATCAAACAGTTTATATATGTTGCCAATAATAAGGCGCAGTGCCTTATCAATGCTTCTAATTTATATTAATATCAGATTATAAAATCCCTCTGAATTAATCAATGTTTTTTTTCACTAAAATTCGAACATCATCTACTAATTAATTCGTACAATAATCGATTATAATATATATGAGATAAGATATTTTTATATTAGTATAAATTTAAAAATTTTACACTTAATCTAAACTTTTTATTTAATTTATTTTAAATGAGTTATAATTTTTAAGTTTGATATAAGTTAAATAAAAAGTTTAAATTAAATATAAGAATATATAAACTTATATTAATACTAGAATATCTTTCTATATTATATATAATTTAATCTAAATTAAATAAAAAATATTAGTTGAATAATCATCCCAAGTAATTTGGGTCAAATTGAACTCAACTTAAATGATTAATTTTTAAAATAATAAATTTGATTATTTGTTAATTAAATATTAAATCTTTTTTTTTTTATATAATTCGATGAATTTGAAGTACTTTAAAAGAATGTCATATAATATTTACACTTAATATTTTTATTTGTATTTGAAAATTTATTATTTTTGTAAACATAATTTTATGAATAATTTATTATTTAAATATAATTTAAGTTTTTTTATGTAAATTTGATAATTTTTAATTAAACTTGATAACTATTAAAGATTATAGAGTACACATTTTTTATATTTAAAAATACAAATTTAATTAGTCAGACTCAATCAACTCGATTTTAGTTAAAATGGGCCATACATAAGAAATAATACATATTTGTTTACTTGATAGAATTATATTTTAGGTGAATTAGATGGTTATGGAAAATAAAGTTGTTGAGACATTAGTAAATTAGTAACAAATTAAAGATTATATAAGTAAAATAAATTAATTTAATAAAAATAAAACAAACCCGTATAACGGACGGATATATTTCCTAGTGTATAAGTAAAAAAATTTCAATTTAAAACTGTGTAATTTAAAAACGTGAGATTAAAAGGGTTATAAAATATTTATAATTTTTTTTCTTTTAAAAATTCTTTTGTTCTTTTTTTTTTCTTAAACAAACTTAAGAGTATGTTTTAGAAGAAACTTTTGAAAAGAAGAAGATAACATACTTTTTAATTTTAAATTAAAACATATATATCAATTACAATGATAAATGCATAGTTAATATATTAAATTTATATCAATTTTAGATCTATTTGAAAAACAAAATTTATCTTTTTCTCTCTTCAAACATTTATTTGACAAAGTTCTCATTATAGATTAAATTTTATAATTAAATAATCGTTACGGAGTACATATAGTTGGAGAAAATTTTCGTATCAGGAAAAATGGAGTTACAGTTAATAAGGAGCTTAATTTAATTTAGAAACATTCAGTTTGATGCCCCAATATCCTATGAGTTGTGAACCTTTGAGAACATGTGATTTTATTTATTGGAATGGGAGCATGTTAATTTATAGTTGAATGATACCACTCATCTTCCAACACATCTAATTTGATATTATGCTCCCAAGTAGGAATTTGCAGCATTTAGCTCATAATAGTTTTTGAAAAATGGGATTCTGATTTAAAATATGGAGCATTTTATTTGCTTGGTTGTTTGTAGATAATTTTGTTAAATTTTTTTATAAATTATTATTTAAAAGTTTTTATAGTTATTAATATAAGATGTTTTACTATTTTTATATGTTTTTAATAAATAGAGCTAGGATGTTACTTAATTATTATTATTATTTTAAATATTAAAACTAAATGTTAATAATTTTTAAAAAACTAAATTTAAAGTATGTTATTTTCATAAGGAATAAAAATATAATTAAATTGTGAATTTATATTTTAAAGGTATATTAATTTGACTTTATTTAATAATCATTTATAAATATTATTTTATCAAGTTACCTATTAAATACCTATAAATATATAATTTTAAACTTAATATTAATTTTTATTTTAAAGATATATTATACATTAAAATATAATTATTAAGAACTCGATGCAAATAATCCTGATCAGTATTTTGTTTTGTTTACGATAGCGTTGGCAGATAGAGACGTTGATATCTATGAACGATGAATCCACGAACGTATCTTCAGCTTCCAAAATTTGGTGACCGATTCCAAATTTTACACACAAACTTTAATGAGCTCCGAACGTGGAGCCCATTATAGAAACCATTCTCCCACCTTCTTAATTACTTCTTTCGTTTTTTTCCTTAATATTTACAACTTTACATAAAATTTTAAAAATATTAATATATCAAGTTTCATAAAAAAAAAATTAAATTTTACATATTATAATAATATTTTATGTATTGACTATCTCTTATCAAACACATTAATTATTAATTAATTCTATAAAACGATAATAAAAAGTATACAAACTGATTTGTCAAAATACCAGAAAAACAAACAATTGATTAATTGATTCTAAAAAATGAGTGTAGCCATCCAGTTATTATATTCAAATTATGTCATTTCATTTTCTCTTTAAAAATTTTGTAGGAAAAACTTGGCTGCTTGATTAAAAGATAAAATTTAATTATAATTGTGTTAATATTTTTATGTTAATTTTTAATTAAAATTAAAATTTTATCTCGATAATTTGTAACAATATTATTTTTAAAAATTTTATAAAGGTAAAAATTTAATTTTATTTAAAAAAGAATAACAAAACTATTTAAACAACTGTACTTCAGTTTTTATCCTCATAAAAAAAACTAATAATATGAAATACACTACAAAGCAAAAGAAACGAGCATTAAATGTAATCTCTTGTGTCAAAAGCAAAAACTACATGATATGCGATATATTATCTATATATTTTATCCCTTTTTTTAAATTATTTTTAGATAAAATTTCAAACTTCATGCCCTTGATATTTTATGATTCAGTGTTGTTAAGAGTTTAAGATTTGACTGTCTTTCATTATAAAAAGTATGAAAAGATCAAATGAATAAATACACTTAAATGTCTTAAGTTGACACTAAAAACATAACAAGAATGGTAGAAATTTATATTAGAGCAGCTTAAACCCTTTATTTTTAGAAGCAAGTTGTTACTTATGGAATACTTCATCTAATTAAAATTTATTTAGAATTGATTTTCATAATTAATGGGCAAAGTTTTTCTTTTCAATTATCTCTTGGTATTAGGAGGTTGAATTCTATATGTACCAATTCTATAAGATATGGTAGTTTTCTAATGAAGTGATGATAACTTCCAATTTTGAGTTGGGATTTTCGGTTTTTGGTTAGTGGCTTTGGACCTGAAATCCTTAGTTTAGAATATTGTTCTTCATTAGGTGCTTATATGCTTGGCATCGTTGTCAATTGGGCAATTAGTGACGCTTCTAGAAAGGACTATTAGGGCAGGCAATAAGAACATATAATGGGGTGATCGATTTCTCCCTCTCCCAATTGCAATTCCATGGAGAATATTTTGCATGCTAGGTAGATTTTTATTATAGACCTCTAATTTATACATGATATATAATAACTTGTTCGTATTTTGGAGACATTTTTTAGCACATATTTGAGAAACTTGTTGATTAAGTGTGGAAAACTTATTTACCTTAATCGCACAAGGTAGTGCATGACTTTTTGCATCTTTGGTTAAAGCATTATTGTATTTATAGTTTTCAATCCAAAACCATAATGGGAGTGAGTAATTGTTAAGGCTTTATACAGTATGAGTGGGGGATATTTCCTTCTTTTTGCCTGGTCATGCTCTTTTATGACCCAAGATTCCAAGTAATATTGGAATTGAAATACGAAGTTTCCTCAGACACTTGCTTTGGAGAGGAGAAAGGACAAATTAAAGCATAATTTAAACATTTGTGAGATTAAGCTATTGCAGTGCTTTATTAGAAGAAGATCATTAGATAAGGATCTTGAACTAGATGATTTAGATGAGTAGTGGGAACTAGACCCTTTTCTTTTTGAAGTAGAGCTTGCACTTAACTTTGTAAATAGAAATTAATCATCATACATATGGGGAGTTATGGCGTGGTGAATCCACATATATCGAAAGCATTGATATGTTATGCCTTTTTTCACAATAAAAGTATGGGAAACATTATAGTAAAAACATGTCATATATCAAAAGTTTAGTAAAAGAAAGACAATCCTTTTAATTTATTATATGTAGCATGCCTACACCAAAAGTCCTAACTCCCAAGTCTCTAACCCAAGCTTGGAAGTGGTGACTCTTCTTACAGTATGAAGAGGGAAATTATCTTTCTTAATCAGCCTTGTCTAATGCTAACCAATCTTCTTAATCCCTATGAATTTGGGTTTTTTTTTTTTTTTCTTCAACCCAATTTGATTCTTATTGTTTTTTGTATCTCCATCATTACCCATTAGGGAAAGAAAAGGGATGAGGATTGTCGCCTGGACCTGTCTTAATTATCTAGGACGAAATATTAATTATCTTCTTGATTAGCTTTCTTTAATATTGACCAGTCTTACTATTTTTATTGGTTGACCAAGTACTTCTCCTCTTTTTTCTCATCCGTTAATTTAATTACACATAAAATCTATAGTTATAACTATTCGGTGCATAATGCACCTTTTTGTTTAGAATGCATGTTAGAAATAAACGTGAATACTTACGTTAGTGCTAATTTTAAGAAACTAGAAGATATTATGTCGAAAATAAATCAAGCTCTTATTACTTAAAGTTGCAATACATGTATATACAATTGTACAATAAAATTCGGATAAGATTAAAGTTTGATGGGGATTCTTATGTTTAGCTCTAATTTAAGTCATAAAGATAGTTTTATGTCATTCAACATCAACGACATATAAATTGCTTAATAAAAAAAATTTACCCTAGTAATTTTACAAAGTAAGAGAAAATCCATTTGAAAAATCAATTAAAACGTCGTGGGCTTAATGTAACAAAGATAGAAAATTAAGAAATCGTCATTTTATTAATAAACTAGTTTGACTTATTTTTACTCTCCTAATTAATTTCAAATTATGAAATTATGTTGTAGAGATAAGTCATGCATTATAAGTTGGTATAAAATAAGTAAATAATAATAATAAAATAAATCTAACAGTTTAAATAATATTAATATCCTCCAGTCAAATATGACCAAAAAGTTTAACTATATATGATACATAAAATTTAATTCCTTGTTAAATATATCCTGAATCACCATATACCAATCAGTAGTTTCTCCACATGCTCATCTGATTTTAGTTTATTTCTTCTGAATGATAATCAGCATTCAACAAACTAGATCCTAATTATGCATAAAGAGGTGAACTTCTTGCAACAACTTTTGCACCATTTTAGAAAATTCCTCCGTAATTGCCAACCCCTATTACTCTAATTAGATGTGTGGTTCTATTACGCGTAATTTGCACATAATACAAACACACATTCCATCTTAACCTTGTTTTTCCATCTTAATTAATACTATCTTCACCTCTGTCTCTCTCTCTCTCTCTCTCCTTATTGTCTCCAACTTTTGCCCCACTTTCTCCCTTCTTTTGCTCACCATCAACCCCATTTGTATTCAAAGTAGAATGGAATTCTTCCAAAAGGCGAAAGTGGTGCGCTTGAGAAGCCACCATGATAAATACATGTTGGCTGATGATGATCAAGAAACCGTGTTCCAAGATCGTAATGGGTGCTACAAGAATGCTAAATGGACGGTGGAGATTGTGGAGAATGCAAATGTAATAAGGTTGAAGAGTTGTTATGGGAAATACTTAACAGCCTCGAATATGCCATTCATACTGAGAGGCACAGGCAAAAAAGTGATACAAACATTGCCTAAAAGGTTAGATTCTTCTGTGGAGTGGGAACCCATAAGAGAAGGGGTTCAAGTGAGGCTGAGGACAAGGTATGGGCAATATTTACGAGGTAATGGAGGGTTGCCACCTTGGAGGAACACCATCACCCATGATGTTCCACATCGAACTTCAACAGCTAATTGGGTTTTGTGGGATGTGGATATTGTGGAGCTTCAACCAAAAGCCCTAGCTCCTAAACCAAGACCAAGACCTACGCCAATTACACCACCCAATCGTTCTATGAATCCAACACCAAAAGATCTTTCTCCTTCTCCTTCTCCTTCTACTTCATCTCCATTAAATTCGGACATGGATTCCCTTATTAAGATAGATCTGAGGTCTCCCACATCGTCAGAGGTTCGTCAAACGAAAAATTGGATTAAAAAATTTCGTTATTTAAATCATTAAAATTCGACACTGTATATGTATGTGATTTAATTATTAGTAGTATTACCTTTCACATGTTTTCTTTTATTATCTTTTTTTTATATATATACATGCATATAAAAGATACACTTCAAATATAAATATGAGATTTAATTATTAGAAGTATCCCATTTTAGTGGTACAAACAATATTTTTAAAAAAAAATATTTTGCAGAGAATATTATCCATTTACACTTTTCTTTGACATAACATATGAGATTTAAAAATTATAAACCAATGGATTGAATTGTATCCCCAATGCAGTTTTTTTTTAACTGCAATTGATTTATGTCCTAAAAATTTAACCATCGGTTCCTAGGAATTTTAATGAGAAATTAATTTTTAAGAATAAAGGAGGGCTCCTAACTTTTTAATCTAGTGAATGCACTAACATTGGTACTCAATTATCGATTGAGATTAAGTAAGTGTATTGTTTCCAAAGCAATATGATAGAGAAAATCACTTGTCACTAATTGGTATGTCTTCTTTGTATAACTCTTTCCTTTTTACTCCAATAATAAAATAAAATGTCAAAAAAGAAACTAACAATTGAATGAAAGAATGTTACACTTTTAAAGATAATTTTTTTAGTAATGTGTTTTTCAATTGAAGGAGAGATAAATATGCTTGTTATTTTAATTAACTTATATTAGTTGAGTACATGTCATTAATAACTATACGCAGTTATTTTTAAAACTACTTTTTCTATCTTGCATATTATGTTATGCAATTCATATTTTTCTAGCCAGTCAATTTCTTAAATTTTTCACATGCTAAATTGCATTGGAATATGATAAACTTGTAACATAAAAAAAAAAAAGAAAACCCATGATTATTAATAAAAACTATTATGCAATAAGATAGTATTGTTTTGTAGTTTTGAAGGAAAAAAAATATGATGGTACTATAGAAGCCAAAGATTCATATTACCATATTACTGCGTGCGAAGATTCGTCGTTAACAATGTTGGACTATTTTAAAATATGAATATAGATAGTTTTTCTATTTATTTGGTGCATGTCATTTTGTGTATTTCACGCAATTAAGTTTTCTAACATTGCTGATGTCAAGTGTTTTAACTTCCAAAATGCCTCACTTAAAAACCCCTGTTGAAACTATAAAATTTCATATTTATAAATTTTACATGTTGAATTTTATTTTATTTTTTTACCAATATATCATATTATTCCTGTTCACAAGAAAATTAAGATGATTTTCAAGATAGATTAGAAGTTTGTACGAAAAAAAAAATGTAAGAATAATATAATTAATTCTTCTAATAAAGTAGAGGAACAATGGAAAAGTTCTTCCTTCACACACATGTAAAGAAACAAAAAATAAAAAATAAACTTTACAAACTTGAAAAGTTGAAAAATAGAAAGAACAATAATGTGATGAATCTAGTGATTAATCAATTCCCTGTTCATCCACGCCAAGTGAAATTTGTACTTGGATTTCATAGTTATAGTAGAAATTGAAAATATCTTTATTTTTATCAATTAAAATGGCCATTTTTGTTCCTCATATGCAGCCGGAAGATATAGAAGAGTCTCAATCACCGGTAAAAGAAGGAAGAATTATATTTTATGATGTGGGTAATGAAAATGGTGAAGTTGACGATGGAAACAAAGGGGCATTCTTTACATTCAAGGGAAGTTGTGTGAGTGAGTTGAAGGATAAATTGAAAGAAGAAACAGGACTTGATGATATTCTTGTGTGTTGCCGCAATCCATTCACTGCAAAACTTTATCCCCTTCATTTGCAGCTACCTCCTAACAACAGTGACATGCATGTGGTTGTGGTTCCATCTTCATTTAAAGGTGAACTTTTTTCATTTCTATCTTTTATAACCTTAGCAAAATAGCTATATTAGTTCATAGACTGACCTGAATATATTCATCAAAATTGAGGTTTTAGACTTTTAAATTTAAGATTCAAATAAATTTAATTTTTTTAACCCAGTTCATTTAACCCGGCATCACAAGTGGGTTTGAGCCTAGCCAACTTCCATAGGCTTGGATTGCCCACATTTTATAAGAAAATAAGTTTATCTTCTATACAAAAATTAATATTTATTATTTGTAATATTTTAAATTAATAATTTATTTTATATAAAGTTTCTAAATTATTAATACAGTCAGTAGATCTTTAAAATTTGTTGAATAGATTGATAGTATTTTGAATTTTAATGTATTTGAAGTTATTTTCAATTTGTTGGATTAGATATGTGTTAATTTTCTTCACAGCAAATGTTATAAAAATTAAAATAAATATTTATAAACATAACATGTTAGACTACCCTCTTATTAAGGATTTTCTTTGATCTGAAACATGATAGACTGCAACATTAGGATTTGATGGGTGGTATACTGATAAGTTATCTTATGGTTTTTAACTTGCATAATTCATGCTAAACTAAGAAACTAGAAAGAATTAAACAAAAAATGGATGTTCTAACAACTGATAAAGTGATAATGCCTCTCAAATCTTGATTTCATTTTATAAAATTTGTATTTACCATCTTTATCTGTACCACTTTGAACTTTATTTTTCTTATATTGTGAAAGTTGATTTTTACCCTTGCTCGTGTTTTTTTCTCCTAACAATTTCTATCTGAAAAAAATCACATGCCAGCCCAATGACACCAAGGAGGTCACACTTCTATTAGCAGTTGAATGCTCCAATAGCAGTGGATTTGCTCACTTGCTGAATTGAACCTGCAGCTGCGAGTGAGGCAACTAATCAACCATTCACACCATAGGGCAACAAGACCAACCAAAAACATGTAAATTTTTAAGGTTTTTCTTTTAAGTTTCTACTGAATTTTGCCATTTGAGATGTAACCCATATTGGTGATTCTCTCTATAACTTTTAATTAGGAATTTTGTACATCTTTTGCAAGAAGTATATACTAATGACAAAACTCATTATGAATTGTATGTTTTTAAATTAGATATGTATGTGTAAAACAAATGGTTGTTCTTATACCAAATTCCTAATTACTATACTCCTAGGCACAACTAAACCTGATATATAGTTGATTATTTTTGTAATATATTTTAGCTTAAATGGAAACTTCAATAATGACAAACAACGCAGATATACCTACTGCAATAAAAAAGGAAGAAGAATATAATTAATTACTTATTTACTCATATAAAATATTATGTTATTTATTGGGTAATAATTTTCTAGTATTAAATAATTGATACTCACTATCTATGATGTACATATAGTTAAAATATAATCGCATATATATATACGAAGAAGGATTTTTTTAGTGTAAGTTTAAAAAATTTTACACTCAACTTAAGCCTTTCATTTAACTTAAATCTAACGGCCAGTAAAATAATAAATTATAATTATACAGGAAAAGGATCTTCTTACACCGTTGTAAGTTTAAAAACTCTTACACATCTAATTTAAGTCTTTCATTTAACTTAAATCTAATAGTCAATGAAGCAATAAATTATAATCATTAGATTTAAGTTAAATAAAAAACTTAAATTGAGTATAAGAGTTTTTAGACTTATATTGATGTAAGAAGATATCGCCCCATATATATATATATATATATATATATATATATATATATATTATAAAATATTCAACATGCATAACATACATAAATATAAATATACTTTGTCCAATATATATTTTTTATATAATCCATCCCATTTTTACTTAAGCAAAGTTATAAAAATACTATAAAAAATCTCAAAAAATTTACTTAAGCAATTATGCTTACGAGAACATAAACTCCATTTCATAGGTCTCAGTTCCTTCTCAGATCATAAACTCTGTTTCATCTTCTTCTCTATAATTCCTGATTGAATCTTGTGCAAGAAACTCTAAATTCTACTATTGCTTTCTTTGTGGTGCCAACTTTGGGTTCAGTCTTGATACCTCATTTTCTCCCTACCCATATGCAATCTCAAACAACTTCGTTTGGTCAAATTGTTCCGAGTTGGAAAGACTCAGCAAATAATGAATCGAAGGATGAACTGTTAACGAGATGGAAAACACAACACAACGTAGCAATCAACATGGAGAGAAGAGTGTAGGATTTGAAGTGAAGGAGATGCAATTGAATTTAATTTTTGATAAAATCAATAGCAATTCATTCAAGCGTCAAGCGAATTTATATTCGCTGAAATTCACTTGAAAATAATTTGAATCTATTAACCTCACCTTCAACATTCTTTAATTTGTATTCTCTTAATGTTTATATATAATTTTTATTATTATACTATGAAAGATTATGTGTGCTTTTGAATAAATAATTTAATTAAATATTTATTTCATATTTTTTATATAAAAATTTATGACATAAGTTTCATCATAAAACTTATTCCAATAAATTAAAAAATTTATTTTAATAATTTATACATAAAAAATTGCTATAATAGATTAAAAAAAGTTTATAAGAATTATAAATTATTTTTATAAATTATTCTAAACATATCTTAAAATACAGTTAACTCCTTCATTTGTAATAGTACTAAACAAAGGGTGGTTATCAGTTCAATTTTTTTTTTGTTTTTAAATATAAATTTTAAAACAAAACAGCTTAACTAAACTAAAGTTAATATAGTTTAATTTAAATTTAAAGCATTTTTAATTCAATTTTAAAACTAAATAAAGTTTTTTATTTTAACTTTTAGTTATAAAATAAATAGTTTAATCATTATTTATTATAAAAACTATTGTTCATTATTACTATTATAGTCATCATTATCATTACCATATCAACAGTCAATTGACATTATAATTACATAACAATTATTATTATTATAATTAACCGTTACGATTATAATAATGGTTACTATCACTACCACACTATTCATTAATGTTATATTCATTGTTATCATTTTTATCATAGTTATCGTTAATGTTACTATTATTATTATTATCAAATTATTATTATTGCTACTATTAATATAGTTGTTTGAACTATCATAATTGTTATTATCATAATAATTATTATTTTAGTATTATTATAAATTTATATTATCATTTTCTTCTTCTTTACTCTTATTATCACTCTATCATCAAATAAATCAATATTAAAAAATAATAAATGATTTTTATAATTTAAATTTAAGATTTAATGTTAAAATTAAAAAATATAAATACTTGAAACAAAAAATAATTTTTAAAAATTTCAAAACTTAAACATGTGACGGTCAATTTCAACATGTTAAAATTATGATGTTTAATGTATATAGGAAAAAAAGATATTAAAAAATAGTAAATATATTATAATCTCTTTGATTTTTTTATTATTTATGTTTAACTAAATTAAATAAATTAATAAAAGTAGTTAAAACTTATTAAATTTTTAAAATTTAAAAATATTATAACATGATAATTTTATCCTTACTTAATATCATAGAAACGGACATACCATTAAAATATATTATTATTAATTTTAATTAAAATTTTCACTAATTTTATTTATTCAGAGCGAATGAGAAAAAAGATAATATATACTTTATAGAAACTGTGTCAAAAAAATCATTGGAACTACAATGTGTCTTACAAAAAGAATCAGAGAAAGTAACATGTTAAGATATTAAAAAAATTTTACAACATTAATTTTATTTATAATTTTAACTAATTACAAAAAAAAATTATGGTAAGACAAATGAAGAAATATGATAACTAATATTAAAAGATAAAAAAACAAATTCTAACAAAATAGAATTAAGTTATGCGATAAAACATTTTTCATATTTAATTTTTAGACATTTTTATATATTTTAGTGCAAGAATAGGAAACTATCACACTTAATTTACAAATTATTTTGAAAAAAAGGTCCCAAACTAGCAAATCTACTTGTTTCACCTTTAATTATGTTATTTGTATTGAATAATTTACTACAAATTTATTAAATGATGCAAAGTGGGAAAAAATATAAAGAATAGAATAAGTGTTGATTTAGTTAACAAAATTTAATTCAATGCTACTACATATAGATATTTAACAAACTCTTATCATAAATAAAACATAATATTTTAATGGATAAGATTAAATAATTGTCTATCAAAAGTTTTTGGCTTAAACCCTAAACATATTTTTATTAAGATTAGCTCTTAAAAAAAATCAAATTAACACAATAATTAGTTCATGTCTTACAAATCGAATGACCGTTTATAGAAAAATTTTGCATTGTTGAAAAGTTTAAGATCTTGCAAATAGATTCATGTCTTGTGCGACAAGATATTGTCCACATTATGACAAGACATTGATAGATGAAATATGATAGTTCTTTTTTCATTCATCATGAGATGAAAAAGTTCTGCACCTCTCTTACTTTTCACTATGTTTATATTAAGGTATTTGATCACTTGAAAGAATCTCTACAAAGTGAGTACAGTTGTTGTGCTTCAAATATCTTGATAATGATAATGATGTCTATGTCAGAAAGCCAACTATTCGGAATGAGCTTTGCTATACCTTAAACCCTATATAGCAATTTGTTATTATTTCTTATATAAACTTTTAAAAAACCATAAATAAGCATTTTTTATAATTAAAATTAAATAATCTACCTCTATATATAATTTGTTAATGCAACTTCTTAAACACAGATTGTTAAGAAAGTTAATTCGCTTTTTTATCATGTCAAGTAGCATTTTTACATTAAATATTTTTTAATAATTTTTATTTTAAAATTTATCTCTTTATTTAATATGATTAAATATTTATTTTTAAAAAATAATTTATTATTTTTAGTATTTTTATTCAAATATTTAAAACAAAAAGTAAAATAAAAAAGTGTGATAATTTTATAAATAAAAACACAAAATATTTGCTGTAATCTAACAATTTTTAAATTTTTTTTAACAACATTCTTTTCA